CTCATAGGACCTATCCTGCAGGCCCCTAATCATATGAGTGGCCTTCCTCTGGACCCTCTCAAAAGTTATCCACATCCCTCTTGAAGTGTGGTGCCCAAAACTGAATGCATTACTCCAGCTGCAGCCTTACCAGTGACATATAGAGGCATAGTATCACCTCCCTGGACCTGTTTATGATGCATGATAGCATGTGGTTAGCTCTATTGATCCTTTCATCATATTGTTGACTCATGTTCATCTTTGAATTAACTATGACTCTGAGATCCCTTTCTGCTGCTGTGCTGCTTAGAAAGTCCTCCCCCAATCTGTATGTGTGTTGGTGATTGCTTCTCCCTAGGTGCAGTACTCTGCACTTATTCTTGTTAAACTGCATCCTATTTTGTTCTGCCTGCTTTTCCAGCTTGTCCAAATCCACCTGAATCCATTCCCTGCCCTCAGTGTGTCTGCTTTGCCCCATAGTTTGGTGTTAGCCATAAATTTGGACAGTGTGCTCACTATGTACTTGTCCAAAGCACTGATGAAGGTGTTGAACAGCAGTGGCTCGAGGACCGAGCCCTGTGGGACACCACTGCCCACATCCTTCCAAGTCAATGAAAAATAAAAGCCAATTAGGACCACTAGTGGTCACTGAATGCATTTCAGCTGAATGGTCCTGAGGTGTCATGAGCCTGAGTTCCACAGATTGAAGTTGAAAGTTTAATGTAACAAATATACATCTCTAGCAATGGTTTACATTTTAAACATTTTCAGAAAATACAAAAACACAGAGTAGAATGCATTTAAGTGTGCTGTTATCTGTGGCAGTACTACTTTCCTGAAGGCAACTGGAAGTAAGAAATTTTGACAGGCTACATTTGTGTGCCCAACAGAGCTGTGTGTAAATGCTAGTATTCATAGCTACATTTAATTGAGACTTATAATTGTACTCATAAATATGGAGGGCAGCTTTAAAAGCTAGTACTTCACTGTATCAAGAGTTTCCCATCAAGAGAATGTTTATACTAATATCTACTTTGATGTTATACATAATAAATTTGTATATGTTACAGCTGAACTAATGGGGAATGTTACCTTTATTTCAGTGGGGGCAGAGTTGATTGAGGCCATGAAGTTTATTATTCCTATTTTTATTCTTCCTTACCTTATGAGTGGTCTCCAACAGTACCATTTCCTCAAACACCGGATGTGCACAAGCTTTCATGGGTCCCAGATGAAGTTTGGGTGGCTTAACTTAAGCTACATAAACTTGAGCTCAGAGTGGCTTGTGCAAGTGTTTGCTACTTGCTAGGGCAGCGGGAGGTAAATTGGTGGAGGAGGGACCGGTAGGATTGAGTAGCTTGTCAGTCTGCAGGCAGGGGGTTGCCTGAGGTGTAATCAAGGCAGAGGTGTAATCAAGTTGGGAGAGAAATTGTTTGGTCAGAGGGAAGAACAGCACAGTTTTGGGGATGTGAATGGCTGGGCTTTCCCAGCCCCTGGGCTGTGCTGTCAAGAGTTTATTTGGTCAGGTTAAGCTTTGCTAGACTAGGCTAACCTTTTATCTATCTAAAATTAGTTCAACTCTGCCACTGCCTCTGAGGTGAGCTAACTTTAGATCAGGTGTGCCATTTTTAGAGTTATGTAAACGCTGTGAAGCTTGCATTCTGAGCATTCAGATTGTCCTTAGTTGGGGTGAGCTGAATGTAAGGTTGTATGTATCCTTAGAAAGCAGGAATGCAACTCAGACTTTTAGAATGGTGCTTAGGGTATAGTCTATTAATTACAGCTCTCAATTCAGTCAGTGCCTTCATAAACAGAGGTGAAAATAGCACTAAGTGGATAAAATCTTCTTTTAAAGCAGTATTTTCAGAAAAAAACCCACTTTATTTTCTTCAAAATGTCACTGAATATTTTAATTGAATAAGAAATTATTTTGATTAAATTCAGTTCAGATAACTGACATTTTTAGGTACCATTGATTCCAATGAGGTATTGGTTGGTGTATCTAAAATAAACTAATGATAATGAAAATGTTCCTTGTGAAAGAGATAATGAACAGACTAATAGTTATATTGTGTCAAAAAATTATATACTGCAGGGATTGACAGATAGATAACTTTATGTCACCTACTGACTGCAGAAAGAGAAGACTCAATTTAAGAAAATTCCAAGAGAAGAAAAAAATGTAAGCTTGTCAAAGAAAGATTGGTGAAAAAAATATACATGAAACTTACCACTGACAAATTAGTGTCCAGCTTAATACTGCTAAACAAATGATCAGAACACCACCTAAAATGATGGAAACTAAAGAGCCTTTAGGAAGTCTTCCAGAATCTGTAACATATATAAAAATGGGTTTCACTGCATCAGCAACAAACACAGTGTAGTGACATATCAGTCACAGTATTGTTTCCAACATGCATTTTTGTATTTCCTGCCCATTAGGCATTAGAACTCCCAATAAAACTCTATAAAACCATTATGCCATCCCTCAGATATGAAAACTTATTGCTCCCTTCAAGGATGCTCCAGCAGACAGAGTATCTTTGAAAGAGCCATCTAAAAACTGTGAAGTAACCCCCAACTGACCACATACCCTTAGTTGTTACACATCACCCTGCAATAAGAAAGATCAGCTAACAATTACAAACAATACTCAAAAAGGATCAGATTTGACAGAAATATTCCCAATCTCCTTGTTCTTGGCTTTCAAACAACTCCTTAATTTTGTTCAGTTCATCATCATAAGCAATTCCTCACTGATCAGCGTACAGTTAATGGGATGTAATGGGTCACAATCCTGCCTTAATAAGAAATACAAGACTTGCCAACTCATCTCCACTGCTACCACAACAAACACCCCCATATTGAAATCATTAGAAGCCACAGATCCTATACATATCTATTCTTCACACAGTGAAACAGATGACCTCACAGAAAATACTTAGGTGAAAATAGACAAAAACTACACTCTCGAATGAACAAACACAGGAAGAAGATAAAGGACAGACACACATATAAACAGGGAGGAAAACTCTTTTCACAGAACTACCACTCACTTTATGACAAGCAAAGTTTTTTGCGATATCTTTTTTTGGATGAACTGGCTAGTTGGAAGAGCTACTGGACAAGCTGTCAGGCATCAGATGCTCTTCATCCAGTCTCTGAAGAAATATATAGTTGGTCCAATAATATCTATCATAAATAAAAAAGGAAAAAAGCTTCTGCTCTCCATGTTTCCTTGACCATCGTGGCTACAAAATATCAGAACCTCATTTTCTAACTTCACAATCCTTGTCCTCAAGGGGAATTTACAAAGCAGATTGAAAAAAAGGTGGATCTGGGAACAAATACTCATACCTTTACTGGACAGAAAAAAATAAGGACTAAACACAAACATTGGCTCTATTATAAACTATGTATTAATCTCTCTCCCTCCTTGATAGTCTTGTTATTTTCATTATCAGGTTATTATCCTTCCTACTGCATTTCTCTGGCCTTTCAGCTAACTGGATAATGAGTCTTTGCTGTTTTTACAGCCCTCTTCTACCCTTTAGCTAGGCTGTCTCTATTTACATATGGAGTTTTCCCATAGATTATTATTCTATTCATTATTTAGCTCAAGCTGTGTCTGTTTCTTTCTAAGACCTGAAGAAGAGTGTTTGTGCTAAAAATACTGGTCTAAACCTCTCGCAACCACACAGTTTGTCCAATAAAATTATCATTCTCCAAAATATCCTTGCTTCTCATGTATATCCTGACGCATCACAGCAACAATATCACTCCAATACTACTATGCTATTAATAAGGCCAGTTTTCCAGTTTGAGTCAGTCCTCATTGTTGCATGAAATATTGGTACATAATACTATGCAGATTCTACCAGGCAATGGAAACAAAGGTTTGATTTCTCATCTCATACTCATGCTGAGCAGAAATCAGTCTCAAAGTAAAATAGTGGGATTAATTAAACCGAGTGAAGTCATGGGCGCATGCAGGATTGTGGCAATGGGAGTGGGACTACACCCACTTTAGCTGCATGGTGCATGCACAGTGAAGAGAGCTCATGGTGTATGTGACATACAGCTGAAGGGGCCGTGGCTTCAGCCCTTCATTATGATCCTGATGCCAGTGAACATTTTCTCTGAGCTCACCAGCACGTCAGCATAGCTCCTGCTGGAATTCAGCATGTGCTATGAACTCTTTGAGATTTCCAGCTCAGGGTTTGCCTGGAGTCCCTGCTTTTAAGTAGCTTTGGGTCTTGCCCTAACCCTAACTGTAACCCTCCCCCAACTCCCTCTCCAGATTCAGCATCAGGGAAAAGGAAAGGATGAGCAGTTGTGGGCAGCCCCTGAGCTCTGTAAAAACAGTGCTGAGTGTTCCTGCCACTACTGCTCACACCTCCCTCTTTTCCCCTGATGTTGAATTGCAGGAAGTAGGGGAAGGTGGGATAGCAGGGACTCTGGGCAGATGCTGTGCCAAACAACCAGTGAGCTCTTAGAGCTTGCTGACATGGTGGTGAGCTCTGAGACCTCCCAGCATATGCGATACACAGTGAAAGGGGGATACAACTGCACCACCAGACCCTGTCTGGTTTGTCCCTGAGCAAGGATGTAGCAGTTATATTCATAGTGACTGATATCTTACTTTAGAGTTAGTCCTATTTATTTTGATTACTAGAGGTGACAGATTCTAGCCATAGAAGTAGAGAAAAATCTGCTACAAGTTTTTGTTTCTGTGTAGAAAAGAACTAGTACTACTAGAAATCAGGACAACTTGCAGGAGGTGAAGGGGACCTGACATCCACATGAGACCAACCATTATTGGATGACCTGGATGACCATTTATTAGCTGCATAAAATCCAAAATCTTCCTAAAAATGGTGATTATATTGTGAGACAAGGATTTTTCTGGGTGATAGCTTTTATTGGACCAGCTGTATGGTTCACATAGACTAGATAAGTTTTTGAATGCAATGCATTCTAGGTCATTAGAATTCCTAAAGCCTTACATGATACTGAAACATTTTGGCATACATTAATTGTTTTTTAATAGCTACTTACTCATAGATATTATCCCCTCAACCTCCTCACAGATATTACTTACTTTAAAATTTAATATCATACCAAATAATCCTCCTTCCAAAGAAAGCACTTATTTTTTAGAGTAACTCTCAAAGAAATGCATTGGAAATGAGCTGCTTCAGCTTCCCCTCAAAGAATGGATCAACAGAAGTGGTGGACTGAAAGATAAAGTATAGACTGAAAGATAAAGTATGGCCTAAAAGGAGAAAACAAACAAACAACAACAACAACAAAACAACACAAGTTTCTTTTAACTGGTACCACCTCCTAGAGATCAATACTGTATCGTACATAAATGCATTGTTAGACTATACTTTTTTTAAGGGTGACTTTTACCTCTGTGAAGCATTTGTTCCTAGGTGATACCCTTTTTCTCATATACCATACATCCCCAAATAAGCAGAACACCTCTTTGAGAAGGAAGAATGACTATTTTTTCCATAGTTATGGCAGCATAGTGCAGGGGTAGAGCTAATCACTCTCCCTTTCCTGCTTAGTCAAAAGATATATAGTTTTAACCCTTTTACAGTGGAACTGTCAGAAGCTCTTGCCTGCTGCTGAAGACTGGACATCATGGCTGAATCTGAGATTTTCAAAAGAGATTAAAATAGCTCGCAGGTTTGTGGAATGAAAGAAAGACAAGGAGTAGCTAACAGCCGAGAAAACTGCAAAAAGAAAGGATAGCTCGATTAGTGGAACATTAAGACAATTGAAAGGAGAGAGGGTTGTTGACACCCGTGGAATGAAGTAGAAATGCCACTGATGTTGTTGGACAGTTACTTTTAATATGGGAAGAAATTCTTAGCAGAAAATCACTCTCCCCCCTAGAGGTGTCACCCCAATTTTTGGGAAACAGGTATGTGTTGTATCACTGTTAATTACTTTCGTCTTTTGGAAACATCCATAGCTTAAATTTCTCTTTATAATTTATTATAGAATTTATAGAGATTTCTTATGCTATGTTTGGGCTATATTATTAGTCTACAGTCCAGCTCAGTTGGTCATCAACCCATCGATCCTAATTGACAGGTAGATCCCAGAGCCTCTTTTAGTTGATTCTGGGCTGGGGGAGAGCTGGGCGCATATGCATGCGCACACATACTCCCCCCCCACCCCCACCCCCACCCCCA